GCCTAGGTGGGAATAACGCTTGGCCAACCTTATTGCAATAGCTTTTGCTATGTGGAGAAGGCATTGGCAAGCTGTGCTTTGTAATGCTTTCGTAACAGTGGAAGCTGTATCAGCATCTATGTGATGATACCCTGTGTCTACCAAAATAGGACGTTTTACTGTTTCGACTTCACCTTTTCCAAACAAAGTCGATAAATGCTGTCGTATCTGGAGACACATCTACCTAGTTATACATATGCAACTTGCGTAACTTGTTAGACAGGAACAGACTGAAATATCGAAGATATGACTAAGTAGAATATCATTTAATCTCTCATTGAGCATTGGACGACTATTAACATTCACACATCTAAAATCAAAATTGGTCCGTAAGTAGTCCCTAATTCACATTCCATTTTATAATTGAGGAAAATTTACTATTCCACATTAGTATGTTTATTTGATACAGAACACAGTGACTAGATGATGTTTCGAACGGAATTTACTGTTCATATCAGAGTAAACACATGACTTTCAAACCTTTATATAGCCCAACGATTCTCCATTATATTATCCTGAAGGTAGTAAAATTTCCATATATCTGCAATATATGTTGAGTCATTTCTTTTACATGTGTTTGGTGTGGATTCCATGACCAAAGATTCTTTGATCAACCTCTCCCTCCACCTAGCTATATTTTAAAAACGTCACTTCCCATCCCACCCACCCTATAGTATGATTATGGGTCAGTCAGAGCGATATCCGAGTTTTTCTCTAAATTACTTATCTCAGTAGGGTCTGCCATTGTATGTTTCTCTAAATTGTTATCCCGAGGTTTAGTCGAGCCTCTTTTTTTCATCTCATTGTCAATGGTATTTGATACTACTTAATGAATGATGTTCCGAACACACTTTATTTCTTATAGTCATGACAAACATTGTAACTCAGCTGGGTTATAGGTTTATGTTGTTTATCCGCAAGGTATGTGTTTAAATTTCAGGAAGTATTCATCACGAAATGACGTCAGTTGGAGAACCACTGAAAACCTGAGAGCACTGGACAACTTTTCCGTCCTAGTATGGGACTCCTCCACCCCGCCTTGTTAACTGGTACACTAGTTACTAGCCGGTCATAAGCCCGGATAAACAAGAAAGGTTGGGCATAAGGCTAGCAACCGTACACCGCAAAACCAATCCAATCCCTTAAAAAACTTCAAAGCGCAGAAAAGATACTAAAATTAAAACAAACTTATTCCTCACTGAAATCGAAGGGACGAAATGACGCCGGTTAGTGAAAGCCTTCAGGAAACCAGTCGGTCAATGTGTCCTCTCTTCTCTCAATCAAAGCGAAAGTAACGATGGAGACATAGAATGTCCACACCATGCATGAACTTAGCAAGGCTGCCCACATTACAAAAGATATTAGAAGACATCGCATAGAAGTGTCAGACTAGGAATATGAGAAAGTAGATGGAATGGAAGTGGATTCTCCAAACTCATAACTGGAGAGGAGTCAATAATCTACTCCAATATTATCAGCCAGATGACAACCACCAGCACAGCACACTGAGTTTTCCAGTGGCTATCATCATGTCCCCCTACCAACAACATCGAAGGCTCTCTGTCATACAGTGGGAATTAATCTTCTCAACCATCAAGATCATGACAGCAAGATTGAAGTCAAAAAGAAGGAAAGTCACAATCATTCAGTGCTATGCTACTCACCCACGAATAATGCAGATGAAGGGAATAAGGAGGAATTCTACAAACAACTGTAATCAGTACGAGACAAGACTCCACCCAAGTTGGTGACATGGAAATTCTAATGTGTGGGGTGATATGAATGCCTAACTGGGAGCAGACAACACAGGAAGAGAACTGATCATGGGTCGAGAAGCACTTGGTGAAATGAACGAGAATGGAGAACTGTTTGCAGACTTCTGCACATTTAATGACTTGGTGATTGGAGGCAGTGTGTACAAACACAAGAATATTCACAAAGTGACATGGATTTGATTTCACCAGACACACTACAGATCAGATTGACTTCATCTCAATGTGAGGAAGGTGGAGATGGCGATGCAGCCTACTGGACACATGATCAGATCAGCAAGGAGAGCAGATGTAGGTTCACACCACTCACTATCTAGTGCAAGGAATCTGCCTTGCATATCAAGTTGAAAGCCTTTGAAGAAGTTGGTGATAGACTACAGTTGAAGTTCAACACCCATCCAGAACAGAAACGGAAGGAAGAAACTAAAGAGGACATCTTCACGTTGGTCATCAAGACAAAATGGGAGGCATCAGGCAATATCCCCGATGAAACTTGTGTGGAAGAATACTGGTACTCTTTGAAACAGATGCAGAAGGAAACCTGGTCAACCGTGTTAGGAAGGAAGAAGAAGCAAGATAAGGAATGGATTTTGATGGACACACGGAAGCTGATAGAGGAGGGAGAGGAATATGGTGATGGTGAAGCAGAAGATGAACCATAGCAGTGCAGTGCAGGGATGAACGACGGATAGGGGAACTGAGTACAATGTATAAAACACTGCACTAGACAAAGAAGTGAAGAAGAGTGCTTGGAAATACAAAAGATACTTCCACGACACACTGGCAAATGAAGCAGAACAGGCTACAAGTAGGAGAGACAGAGGCCTGATAACACTATTTCAAATAAACAGGTAACAATCTGGGAAGAGACCAACACAGATGAAACCAATGAAAGATAGTGAAGGGAAGCTAGTTACCGAAGAGGAGAAACAAAGGAAACAATTGGCTGACCACTTCAAAAACTCTTGAATCGACCATTTCCACCACCTGTAACTAGTCCAGAAGTGCCACCAGCAGCAAAGCCACAGGACTATCAGTGATCACAAACCCTCCTATAAAAGGCAAAGACCTGAACGCCACAAAGTGACTGAGATCCAGGAAAGCAGCATGACCAAATGTAATTCTGCCAGAAACAGTGAAAACATACTCAGAGACAACAGCGGACATGCTCATACCACTACTGTACAAGATTTGCAAGGAAGGAAGGAAGAAAAGGTACCTCCTGATCGATTGGAAGAAGGGCTACCTTGTCAAACTTCCAAAGACAGGCGAACTAAGTCTTTGCAAGAACTGGCGAGGAATCATGCTCCTGTTCCTGTCCACCCAGAGTAAGCAAAATATTATGCTGCATCATCCTGAAGAGAAAAATAAAAGATGAGCTGGATTCAAAATTACCACCGGAGCAGACTGACTGGCTGGCTTCAGGGAGAACAAATCATGTGCGGATCAAATTGCAACGCTATGCTACTCATGATCATCATAGAACAGAGTATAGAATGATAGTCAACTCAACTCAACCTCAACTTCATCAATTTTGGAAAGGCCTTCGACAGCATCGACCGAGAAGTAGTTTGACAGGCAGTTGCTTCAACACTATGGTTATAGTGTCACAAACCCTTATCAACCTCATTCAACAGCTATACGTAGAAGCCACATGCCAAGTGATTCACAATGGAAAACTCACTGACGCCTCTGAAGTGAAGACAGAAGTAAGACAAGGTTGCCTACTATCACCGATGATCTCCCTGATTGTGGTCAACTGGATCATGCAACAGACAAGTGTGAGGAGCTGTGAGAAGATGGGTAGATGCTGGCTGGACCGACGTAAAAAGCCTAGAATGTTTGGATTTCGCCGCCGACGATGATGACTTCTGTCTAATGTCTTGTCGCACAACCTCGAAGATCTACAAGCAAAAACCAACAAGTTTGCAGAACAGGCGAGGCAGCGAAGGGAGACGGTACTTCAAGTGAATGTAGAGAAGACAGAGGGGATGAAGATACTCAACCGACGACAACGACAAGCCCTAATCACCATCCACAGGAGAAACCTAAAGGAAGACTACTTCCTTTCAACTGCCTAGGCAGGGCAGCATCGTTTCAACTACAGGTGGCGGTGCCACAGATTAGTATGTCAAAGCCACGATCGGAAAAGTAGCAAGACAGGCCTTCATTGATCTGAGATCAGTTTGGAGATCTACTGCAGTGCACTCAGTATAAAGAACGAGATCCGGATTTTCAACACTAATGTCGGTCAAGTCAGTGCTTCTGTTTGATAGTTGAGAGACTTGGCGCGTCATTCCCAACAAACTGCAGACATTCACCAACAGCTACCTACGCTGGATACTGAAGATCAGATAGCCAGAAAGAATAAGCAACAAGGAACTCTTGGAAAAAACCAACCAAGAAACTATCACCCAACAAATATGCAGAAGAAAGTGGAGATGAATTGGGGATACACTGAGATGACCGATTAATGACATCACGCACCATGCCAGGCACTATAGCTAAACCCAAAGGGGAAAGTACGAGTTGGGTGTCCGAGGCGAGGGTGACATGGAGGAGATCATGTGAGGAAGAAATCAAAGCTTGTAGGCAGTGGTGGAGCCAGGTTAAAAAGACTGCAGAGAACAGAATGGAATGGAGACGTACTACCGAAGCCGTATGTTCCACCAGGAACCCAAGGGAAAAATAATAATAATTGGGACTCCTCAACAGTACGCACCCACAACCTGTATGCAGATCGGCCTTCAGGTTTCACGACCAACGCGTAAACCATCCAGCCAGTGGGTCGGTGTTTAATGTTTCACAGTTTCCAACTTCTGTCAGTTCGATACCTAATCGGGTCGTGGGCTTCTGAGAAGTCCCATACTAGGACGAAATATCTTTCCAGTGTTCCCAGGTTTTCAATGGTTCTCCAGCTGATGTCAGTCCGTGATGAATACTGCCTCAAAATTAAAATCTCTACCAACCTCAAAATATATACATTTAAGTGTTATTAAATTCAAGCTTTGTACAAGATTCACATTTTCCATGATCTGAATCATTATTAGTGGCTTAATTTGAAATATTTCCTTGTCAGACTGTTTAATTTAACCGGATTGTTTTTGCAGTTTTCCTTACACTTATTAGATTTGTATTCAACGGTAGATCTAGAAAATCAACTGATTCATTATTGTTTATGACTTACAGGTTTGCTATATCTTGGTGTACGTCAGTTGTTTCGTCATTGAAGTACGGGAACTCTTGATGAAGGTAATGTACAATTCTGTGCAATTGTGTACGTAATAAATATATTTTTCTTGTGAAGGTTTCCAACTTTTTCAACCTTATTTGTATAATGGTATTACTTGTTACAAAGAATCATTCATGTTATTCATGACTTCTTAAAACTAATAATGTGATGGCTAACAGTGAAGTCTAGGATATGCATTTCTACTTATTCGTGACTCTTCGGTTGGATATACTTTTACCGCAGTGAGCGGTGGTGTTGCCACTAGAGTCGAACCCCTTACCGATCGCTTCAATTCGATCCAGTATAACAACGGTGCATTACAAGTATCAACAAATAATGATAATGCTGTGATCTTTTTTAATAGTAGGATTTTTAGTGATCAGTTGTTTAACCTGGAGAACTCTGTTTGATTAATTAAGGATATGAACGCTAACTAGTCCCGTTATCTAGAGATGCAGTTCCCAAACTCACAAATTATACCATCTATTTATTTCAGTAAAAGCTTAAGTTGCTCAGTCTAGCTGGGTTGAATTTTACAATTTCTTAGTAACCTGATATCAATATTGATGGAACCACCCAAATGCAACTTTTTGCTCCAGGATTGGTCTTCAGCGGTTCCCCACCGCGGCTAACAATAGAGAGTGAAGGTGGTTGAGTGTTTTGACCACTTCAGCAACCTGGGAAGGTAGGATCAGCGCTGGTGGGTGAGTTGCCGATGAAGTCTGTGCATGAATACAAAAGGCTCGATTGGCTTTTGCCAGTTTATGCCACCTATGTCGCCATCGTGATATCCGTTTGTCTACTAAGGGTGGCGTGTACTGACTGCACAGTAGTCTGGTGTGTTCTACTGTATGGCTGTGAAACATGGCCATTGAAAGTGGAAGACATGAGGAGGCTTCAAGTGTTTGACGACTGTTGCCTTCGTAGTGTAGGCGGTAGGTATTTGGTGGTGTGAGTATGTGAGTAATGCAGAAGTGAGGTGTAGAGTTTTAGGGAGTAGAGGTGAATCAGTAGACGATGTTATAAACCTTCATTGACTGAGATGGTTTGGACACGTGTTAGGTGTATGCCCAGTCACCGATTGCCTCGTCACACGATGTTGGCGGAAGTATGTGTAGGCTGGCGAAAGGCGTGAGGTGGCCAGAGTAAAATATGGCACGAATGTATGAAGTGTGTGAGTGTTTGTTTTAGCGATGTGTTGCGATGCATACTATATGGTTGTGGTGCGTGTGACAAGAGGAAGCAGTGTTTGGAGAGTGAGTGTATGTGATATGTGTGAGAAGCGATGTCAATGGCTTAGATGTATACACACATATTATCCTCATGTTAACGACGCTATACCGAATCTCACCATTTTGTCATTCCTCTTTTCTTTCTTCTCATACTTAATATTTCTTTTGACTGCATTCTCTTATCTTCATGTTTTACGTCACTGCCTTTTTACTTGATGGTACTGAAATGAGATGAGGTGTGGCAACTCGGAGTGTTACTCAGTAATGCCTGACTCTATGTAGATATTGATTGATTGATTGATAAGAACTGTGGGAGATACCACGTGAACTGTGAAATAAATTCTCCACTTGTGGTATCATTATTGAATTATTTCAAAATCCCTTGAGTAATTTAAGTTTGTCTGTTCGTTAAAGCTGTAACATAGGATTTTCGAAATAATATTTCTACGTATTCATTGTCTGCATTATATTTTGCTCTGTATGATGAGAATTGACTAAATTTCTCTGTTTGCGAGGTCTCATTCGGTCAGCAGTTATATTAACCAGGTTGATATGCCTTACCAGATGAATAATGTTTTTGAGACGCTCACTCACTTCGTCCCCCGTTGTTAGACAAATGAGCAGATAGATTTTATACATTTCTGGTATTATCCACGCTGTCGGTACTTTCTGGTTACTGATGCCATGGAAGTTAATGTTTTTGAGGTATCTGAAAAGCATAATGCATCAATGAAAAGAGTATATTATCCCAGAGACCTAGGGTAATCGGTTTAAGATAGCTTATATGCTACCTTCTCGAGCTATTTTATTTCAGATTTATGATGTCTGGCACTGGCTCTGGCACTGGAAGATTGCAGAACAGGAAGGAATTTGATACTTACGAAGCACACAAAGAAAGACATCACCAACATGGACCACTGATCATCTGTACGAAACACGTCACAACCTATCCAGCAGTACGACTTTTGTATCAGATCAGCACCATAGCGTAAATTATTTACACTTCGGTGATAAATGTTTTTGGTTTTACCATGATCCAACAAACTTTTCCTGCGTGATAGAACCTCAAAGAACAATCGTCTCAGTTAGCATAGCTTATTGGTTCGTTATGATATGCAAACTCGATTGTCGCGTCTAACATTTATACGAACCAGTCTGTAGTGATATTAGTACATTCAACGGGTGAGAAAAATGTTGTATTGAACCAATAGAAATATGCTGTTTGACTACTCTAATTCACTGGGAAACAGACTGTTTCTCAGAAAATCAAGGAAAAAGATTGCCATTCCAGAAGTCCAAGTTGGATACAGCTAAATAAAGATAAGAATGCATATCCTTCGTTAAAGCCATTTTTCATAACAATTTCAATGCTCAGTTTACCATAAAGAAGCTTCAGTATGACTGCGGTTGTTTGAACCAACCAACCTTCTTTAATGTGATATAGTCGTTGGATATAACCCTTTTAATTATAACTAATTCCATACAACCATTCGATTAACAGCATTAAATACTGCTTGTAGGTCAAAGAATTCGACTAGAGTTGAGCACTGGCAAACATTTCTATCTACAAAAATCTTCAAAGGATTAAAATTAAGATCAATATTGTAAAAGTAAGAGTAGGATGTCACTGTGAACAGAACAAACTGATGTAGAAAAGTAGGTAGGAGGTTAAGTGCTGTGAATAAGTCAAATGATAAAATTACTCGGTGAAGTGGAATAAAATTAGCTATCAACCATATTATTTAGGTCAAGGTAGGAAAATTCGTTTTTCGATCACATATTTCTGGTTTGTGGTGATATTTACTTAGTTATATGTATGGTGAGAAAGTAAAGATTCAAAGTGGTTGACCATAGTCTTATAGATTACTCTATTTCATAAGAAAATGGAGTGACTTCAAAGGCCACTCTAGTAACTGCCAGGAGAGCTAATTACGTCCCTTTATTTTATGGAAAACTCCTTTTCTAGCCAGAATACCGAAACCTGATTTGTTATTTCAACAGTTGCTAGGGTGGCCTTTTAAGCCACTTAGAAAATGAGTCACTAGAAGCCATGTGTTGTTCACCAATAGCATGTTATTCTATGCTCACCCTTCTGTGAAGTAAATCATGAAACATTTAAGTTTGCAGTGGGTCCTGTCCAACCTATTTCTCAGAAGTATTGGAGGTGATAAACACAAACGGAGTTGGTCATAAGTAGTACGCTATCTTTACTGCGTTGTTGAATTATATGCCAGCTATAAAATACTAGGCAGCACTGTTTCAACTATATGCGGCACAGACGAGGACGTCAAAGCCAGTCAGGATCGGAAACACAGCAAGACAGGCCTTCCTCATCCTGAAACCAGTGTGGAGATCTTCTACACTCAGTATAAAGTGTGAACAACATCCGGATTTTCAACACCAACTCAGTCAAGTCAGTGCTTCCATGTGATGGTTGAGAGACTTGACGCGTTACGAAAGGCATTTCCAACGAATTATAGACATTCATTAACAACTGCCGACTACGCTGGCTCGTTACTGACACTGAAGATCAGATGGATTGCCAGAAAGAATCAGCAACGATGAGCTCTGGTTGTTAACGAACCAACCAAGAAGCTATCGCTGAACAAATATGCAATGGAAGGAAGTGGAGATGGATTGGATTGGGCATACACTGAGAAGGCCGACTGGGGACATCACGCGCCAGGTCAGACCGTCGAGTGGAACCCGGATGGGAAACGACGAGTTGGGTGTCGGAGGTGAGGGTGACATGGAGGAGATAGTGTAGGGAAGAAATAAGAGCTTGTGGGTAGTCGTGGAGCTAGGTTGAGAGGATTGCAGAGAAGAGAGTGGAATGGAGACGTGCTACTGAAGCTGTATATTCGACTAGGAACCCAAGGGACAAATAATCATGATAATATAAAATACTACGTAAGCTAACCGAAAGAAAAGATAGATTAAAACAAATTGTTCAGCTAAAACGTTTCTCGATTCAAACGTTATGCTTAAGTGAGGGAGTAGTTTGTTTCTTTGAGTAAATCTGTAAAGATAACCATTCTGTTACAGAGCAGGTGAGCTTCAACTGAATTATCAGCCGTTTTATTTCAATAAATTCTCAAGCCGTACACAACACAGCAACGACCAACCAAGGCTATTGTTCATGACTAAATGTACCTAATCGTCAATTTTTATAAACTTTTGTCTCACTTCTTCAACATTACATCTAGCGAATAAAAAACGTACGTAGTTTAGCTCTTCCTGAACTGGAATATCCACTGATTTACTAGAAGAGTTCATCTATCAAGATGTTTTCATCCCAGATATCAAGTTTTACCGCTATCTCTTATATACGGATAAAATTCAGTGATTACTTTTTTTCAACAGATCATTCTTGAAATTCACTTTTAGGATATCAGCTACAACAGGACCTATTAGTAACTCTACATTTCCTTGACTGTATATTATCTCATCAAATTCGATTTACACTTTAAGAGTACATTCTCATACGAGCTGCTTATACCATGTCGTTCAGTGTCTCATATCAATATTAACAACATCGATTTAGTTATATCGGTAGCAGATATTTGCCTGTTGCTGAAACAAAAAGAATACACTGTTATATTTACATGCTTATTGATATAATATTGTGTGCTAATATAAACCTCAATATCTAAACAATAAACTTCAGATTTCATCATTGGTGGTTGTTCGTTTCTTCGGAAAAAGAAGAAACAGTAATACTACTACTACTACTAATAATAATAGTCTTATTCCAAACAACACGTGT